TTATACATATATACAAGCAAAACCTTAGCCAAAACCACTCTCCGTTATTATCTCTCTGTGAGAGATGGAAGCACTCGGAAATATCTCAAAAGTAACAAATACTAACAGCAACTTTTTCTAGCAGAACTTCCGATGGCTCTTCTTTCTAGCACAGCTTACAAGCATTTTTTTTAATACCTGTTTCGACTCCTGGCATGTACCAGTATCAGTTTACCATTGAAACTAATGAATGAATCGTAGAGGGAGTTGGATGCCTACTGACGTGCAAAAGTATTTGACCGAAACCAATTCGATTCTTTATCGGTCCAGAACAATTTTCGAGAAAGAGCTCCGTTCATACATACGTAGCTCGCACTAGCTTACTTTTAATTAATTTTGGCTTTGGAGAATCGTGAAATAGCTAGTTTCTTGTTCGATTTAACTGTTCATTTGCGGATGTGTATTTTCTTGAGCGGACTTCTCTGTAGTTTAGGGGGGTTTCAGGTAAATGTAGGATTTTAAAGTCGAATTTGATCAAATAATCACACAGGTCCACTCCAGATAACTAAAAACTTTGTAAGCTGTCGATAACCAAGTGAGCCCCTTTATCGACAGTCAGTCCCTCAATGAATACCAATGGGCTGTCACTAATCCAGCTAGTGAATCATCATATAAACCAATGAAGTAAAGATAAATCTACTGTTTTCTGTCTGTATCAAGCTTATCAGACATATATGATCACAAAAATTTTCTTCGTTTAATTATCGAATAGTTCTTGAACTGGAAAACATCAAAGGCAATTTTGTAAAATAAATTTTGTTCTTGATTCGCTCAGAATCTCAGTTTCCTTGTTCCTCTTTTTTTGCCTCGTTTCGCCCTCTCCATCGTTGCCATCCTACATTCCACGTATGTCTAATGATTTGAACGATGTTCGAACAAAAATTTTCTTCCAAAATAATGAAGTTAGCGAACGACAACAGAAGGAAGAGGCAGCAGGACGGGACAGTGATAAGTGGTGGCAGGATGTTTGACCCAAATCAACATGCACAAAAACACTGGGAGGCAGTTGGTTTCATCGATATTATCAGCAATTCGGAGAGGCGGCAGCGTGAACGAATAACAATAACAACTCCTCCATCAAACAGTCCTCTCGCTCGACTTTACGAATAGCCTAATTTTCTTTGTAATAAGCAAAAAACATACTACCAAGGTCGCCCAGACAATCGCTGTGGAAATGTTACTGAGGCAAAACCCGGGCGCCGGACACATCTCCGACATATCTTTATATAACATTCTGTGATTTTGTATTTTGTGCATGTGATAATCT